GGGCTCTGACCCCACCACCACCAGCTCCGGTCCCGCTCCCGGGGCTCCCGGTGGGAGCGGGCACGGACCCAGCAGCACTGGCTCCAGCAGGGGCAAGTATTTTGGGTGGGAACACGTGGGGGGCAGCTGGGGCCAAGAACTGCCCTTTCCATGTGAAAGGAGACACAACAGCATTTCCTCCGAGCAGGGACAGAAAAGGCCGGGTTGAGCAGCTGGTCCCTGAGCAGCTCCCGTGCGCGGGGGCAGGATGAGCCAGCGCTGCCCCTGGGCCCGGGCAGCTGCCGGGAGCACGCGGGGCCAGCGGCGCTGGTTCCCAAGAGAAACTTCCCATCGGCTCCTCACGAGAGCCCGGCGGCGGGGGGAGCGGCCCCACAGCAGCTGCCGGCGTGGGGGGATCCAGCACTGGCGAGGGACCACGGGGGCTGCAAAGTCCGTTTGAGTTCCCGGAGCCCTGGGCTGCGCAGCTTTTCCCACGGCCCAGGATCCCAACGTGCGTGCGAGGCTCCACGTCTGCCCCTGTGCTGCATAAACACATCCTGTTTCCCAGATAATACACGGCCTTGGAGAGGTAACATCCACCCCGGGGGGTAGCAGAAACGCACCCTTCATCTCTTGGCCAAGCATCGCCGCGTCCCTGCCCCGCTGAGCTCAGCCTGGGCCCTCGCCTGCTGCCCCCCGCCCTCCCCACGGCTGAGGGCGATCTCAGAAGCTTCGAAAGCCCCTGGTGTGGGCACTCGGGTCCCGGGACCCTCTCCCCACCCAGCGTGGGGCTCCTCTCGCCGTGGGGCTCAGCCTCCAGTGCCAGGCAGGTACAGCCAGGACGTGCCCCCGGGGATGGGGGCGCCGTGGGGCGATGCCACGGGCCTGGGTGGCTGCCGCATCCCCCCGGGTTGTGCCTGGGCAGGAGGGAAGCCCCGGGGTGAGACGATGCTCTGCAGGGACCCAGGTTGGTGCAGGAAAAGCTGCTGCTCTCTCTGGCGCTGCTGCCTATAGAAAACTCCTTCTGCTCTTTGCTGACCTTCTGGGAAGGATGGTGGGAGCTGGGAGGGCATGTTTGTGACAAACAGGATGAACCGATAAAAGAGGAGGAAAACAAAATGCTTTGGAAACAGCCTTTTGGCGTTCAGAGAGATGAGGCGGCGGGGAAAACAACTAGACCTAAAGCCTGTGAGGAGGGAAAACAAAGCTTGCTTGCAGCTCAGGTTCCTGCAGAAGTGCTGAGCGTTGCTCTCAGATGCTGACCCGCTCCTCTCCTTGTATGGGCAGAAACGGGGCTTGTCTTGTGCCTATATTTAATTTGCTAGGGGGAAAAAAAAAATTCTCCCTCCATGCCTCTGCTCCACTGGCCTCTCTGTCTTGGGAAGTTACAACAGGAATAGAATTGCGTGTTGAAAAAAAATAATACTACTGCTCGCACATAAGCCCTTCCTAAACTTGGAGTGAGCGGAACAGGTTTTTGCAACATAACACTGCTGCGAGCACGCAGCGTGGGGGGGCTCGTGGAACCGCGGGGCTGCGGTGCCACCGATGGGCTCCACGTTCTTGCGACCCGCGTGGCCCCGGCCCCCTCCCCGAGCCAGGGGCTGCTCGGCTCGGAGGCCCTTCCCTCAGCAGCAGTTTTTTCCCCTCAACATTTCTGCCTCTGCCCTTCCCCGCTGCCTGCAGCTCTTCCCGGCTCTGATTTACAACCCCCCCTCGAGGGGGGGCTCTCCTGGCTGCTCCCAGCTGGGCACAGGCTGACACAAACCACCCGCACCCCGGCTCTGACCCCCCGGCTGAGCCGAGTCTTTGCTTGGCCGGGTTTTCCTGCCGGTGGAACCCCAGAAGCTTCTGTGCTGGAGAAAAGCAGGACGGGGGATGGCCCCGGGACAGAGACGGCCCCACGGCACGCGGGAGACTGACATCGCTTTATTGGTAACTCTTGGAGAGCCGCACGCTGAAGAACTTGGTTCTGTCAGGACAAGGTTTGTACACAACAGCAATGGGGAAACAACAACAATCAACGTCTGCTGCAGCTTTGCATCTTGGTGCAACCTCAACCATAAACTTCTGCGTCAGGGTGTCTGCTGGGATCTGTGGGGGGAAGGACACGGGGCGAGAACAAAACCCGCTGAGAGCTGCAGGCTCACAGATTTCCATGAAAGGAGCCTCGCGTCTTACTGGTTTAACTGGCAGGGGAAAGAGATGCTGGGAGCGCAAGAGAGATGCAGTTTGGGGGGGGACCCCCCAGCTGAAATGCAGCAGGGCTGGGGTTCAACACCCCCACTTGGCAGTTGTTCAAGTCTTACAAACTCAAACTTATTTCTTTCAATTTAAATAACAAGTGCCTCAGGTACAACGCTTGAATTGCCTGGTTTGTAACCCAGTTTTAAGTGCACACAAGCAGGAATAGATTTAAAAAAAAAAAAAAAAACCAAAACCCTATATGTATTTTTTCACACTCATACACGCACATGCACACGGTGAATTTTGTGCTGCAGCTGTTTTAACCAGAGATGCTGGAATGGGCCTGAAGTGGCTACTGTTAGCCAGGCTCCGGGAGCTGATGGTCCGCAGCACCACTCCCCCTAAAGCTGCTGGAGGTCCTGATCAGTTTTGAAAACGTCAGTCCCCAAAAGTCTCCCCACGGCGGGGCTGCCTCAGCTGCTGCCCGGACTGCTCCGGAAGCCGCAGTTCTCTGGAAAATGCCACTTGCAGGCAGCTGAAGCCCACAGCACGCGTTGCAGAGGACTCCTCTCGTCTCGGTCCACGCTGAGAGCTCGAGGGTCTCCCGGGAAGCCGTGTGGGGCCTCCAGCTCCTCTCCGGTGTGAAACAGAGCGGGGAACACGGACACACTCAGACCCAAACAGCCGTATTGATGTCAAAGCCAGACTGGGTGTAGTCTATGGTATCGTGGACCTTCTTGGTGCCAAGCTTGGGTTTCTCACTATTGCTCTTTGCCTTCGGGCCCCTCTCAGCTTTGCTGTGATGGTTCTGGATGTTCCCATGAAGCGGGAAGTAAAATGTGCCCTTGAGTTTGTTCATCTTTTTGGGTCTCTTAGAAATTTCGGGGCGTTTGTCTTCAGGGGGAAGCCAGCAAGGTTTCTCCTTGAGAAGTCTGTCTCGGTCTGGCCGAACGCTCCTCAGGAACTTCTTGAAGATGTTGGCTGTGAGGGAGAACTTCCTGCAGAGCTCCTGGGACCTGCTGACGGACAGGGACGCCTCGCTCTTCTCCCCCTTCTTATCCAGCTCTGGCAGATCCAACCAGTTCCCAACCAAGTCTGCAAAGATGTTATCCCCCAAGACCAGCGGCTGCCGATTCCTGCTCTGGGACATTAGGGACGACGTCCAGTCGTGGCCATCGTCACACCCCGGGCACTCCCGGCACACCGGCCACCCCCCAGCTGTGCCCTGGCTACTGGGCTCAAATGTCCTTGGGCGGACGTGCTCCGCGCCGCTCGACGTGGAGGAAGGTCCCTTTGGGTGAGAAACATCCTCCCCGCGGAGGCCCCTGAAGGAGGACGGGGTGTCTCTGCGGTGGGCGCCCTCCGGGAGCGCAGCGGGACGGGACGGCCCCGCCGGGCGCGGT